AAAGAATTTTGAGCAAATTCCAAAATTTTGTCAAATGGGGTCTAAATCACAAAATAAGTTTTCTTAATAAACTTTTCAAAAACTCCAAGATAAAAAAAATTTCTCTAAAGAGAAAAAAATTAAACACAAACTTTTCTAGAAAAACTCAAATAATTTCGTTAGAAAACAAGACGCCAAGCTAACTAAACAAAACAGTATCTTTCACGAGTGAGGACGCTTCTAAAAGGGCTCCTGCAACTATAGTTGATCACTTCGTTGAATATAGGGCTTTGAAGCTATATGAGAGATTAGCAACCAAAACATCATTGTCGAGTCATAACGTGGATTTTCATACAGTCGGTATCGATTCTAAACTATGTGGTGTTTTTGCTCATTTAGGGTTAGACTAGGGTGCTATCTTGCATCACCTACTGGATTAGATTCATAATCTAGGAAATCTCTCATATAGTGTGTTGCCTTGTGTTACCTACTGGATTGGACTTGTAATCTAGGAAACTCTTATATAGTGTGGAAGCCCCTCTTGATAAAAAAAAAGAGTTAATGTAAGAATTCTATTTGAACCACTATAAAATACTAGTGTATGTGATTGCTATTTTTGTTTTGTTTATCTTTACTACAATAATAGTGGTATTTTAATGTCTATTTTACTTTTTGAAAAAGAGTTGCAATTTTATTCAACCTATATTCTGGGCTTGCATCTAGATCCTAACACCAAAGGCTTAGGCCCGACACACCTAAGACTCAACCCAAGCTCTACACGACCCATAATTGGATTTGTGGCATGATAATTTAGGCATTTTTAAAGAAGAGATGCTATAGAGCCACATCATTATTATGAGGTCATATTAATTGTTATGCTGACCACAACTGAAGTTGCTGTAGGGGAAAATTACATGAATATTTTAAACAATTAAGATTGCTCTTGACTTGTGACTAGTACTTGCTTAATCTCGTTTAAGTGTTCGACAAGAGATAATAGGCATGACGGTGCTAATGATTGCTTAGTTATTACCAAACGAGGTTCTAAAGTCACTCTTTTATGTTGGTAGAGCCTGATTTCACCAATTGCATCCTTATCAAATCCTACTATAATTTCCTTCTGGTTGGCGAGTATGATAATTTCTCACAATATAACCAAAAATGTCAGGAATTAAAAATTTAGACTCTTAAAGAACAATAATACTTAGCGCCTTTGAAAAAGAAGGAAGACTCCACAAGTATAACTTTTAATACATTAAGATTACTAGTAGAGATTTGAAAAAGAGAGAATTTCCGCCTTGCGCCAAATAGATAACAAATGGACATCTTATTGTGTTTCAGGAAACTAGTATAGTGCACGTGCTTTGTACGAGAGCATACATATTTTCTTTTATGTTTTTTAATTTTTTTGTTGGTTGCAAACTAATGAAATGACTTGTATAACAATATAAATTCTAAACAATTACAATTAAATTATAAGATAAAATTATGTATAAAGAACTATATGATTAATTATCATAGTTTAGATAATTATTATAATTTATTCACAATTAATTAAGATAATTATAATATATTAAATAGCTTCTTCTCTTTTAAATATAATAATATTATACATGGCATAATTATAATACTATTAGTAACTTCATTTTAATTTAATAATTAGTTTATTACACTATTAGTAAATAATTTACTAAATTGCATAATTATTAAATTATAGTGTAATGTATTAATTTAAAAAAATACTATTAAATTCATTATACTACCAATACTATTATAATTACAATAGTTACAAATTAATTTTTTTGTATTATCATACTTTTAAAGGGCTAATAAGATGCAAGGTAATAGGTAGTCCTCTATAAGAGGTGAAACCTAAAGGTATAAAGCATAAGCCTAATAAATTTTAGTTATTTTTAAATTTTTTAGAATTTTAAATACTATGTGAAGATAAATTAGGGATAACTTTCAAGTTTTCTGTTACATAAAATAATTAAATAATAAAATAATATTTGCGAATAATGATTTTGAAAAAAGTGAGGAAATGCATAATTAATAAGAGGTTACATATAATTAGTGAATGATTAATTACAGCTAACGATATATTTGAGAATTATCTAACTTAAAAGGAAAAAAAATTAAAAGTTTTGACAATACAATCCTCTTTTATATGTAATATCATACTCTTTTTAAAAGCACGAGTTCGAAAAAATCTTTCGATAGACAAAAATACCATTGGAATTCAAATATTAATCTATTAAATAAGAGTAAGTTGATAAATTGATGAATTCTTTTTGAAAATACATAGTATAAAGATAAGTGTATAATTTAAATTGAAATGTAAACCTGAATGAAATTATTTATGCCAAAATTATAAATGTCTACAAGATGAAGGGCGTATATGCAAAAATCAAACAAATTAACGAGACAAATAATATCTACCCCAAATGTTGAACCTAGGAACATCGCAGACCTACAAATGTACATAACGTGGACAAGATATTAGCAAATCCACCAAACAAATTAAAAAAATAAAAGTCATTCTCAAAATTATAAAAAAGGAAAATTAAATAAACAATTGCGATATGAGGACACAACGTGGCAATCTCTCACTGACTAAAATTCAAGTAGTTCACATTACTACATAATTAGTTTTAAAGTTTAATTATACTATTATTATTTAATTAGAACTCTATTTACAATTGTTATCCTCTCATATGCAACATCACATATCAATATATATAAGGCAAGAAATTATAATAATTTTCATAGCACTTTCATCTCCTTCTATAGGTATATGTCTTTGTTATTTTTTTCTTATTGTTTTAAATTAGATTATTTTAAAGCAATTAATTATATTATATATTTAATCTTTTTTCATATCAAGAAATAACAATAATTTTCACAACACTTTTATCTATTTTCTTCTTATTAGATTAGATTAGATTATTTTAAAGTAGTTAATTATATTATATATTTGATCTTTTTTTTCAGATAAGAAATTACAATAATTTTCATAGCACTTTCATCTCCTTAAATAGTATGTGCCTTTGTTATTTTCTTCTTATTAGATTAGATTATTATATTAGATTAGAATGTTTGAAAATTATGAGTTATGAAATTGCAACAATTTTCACATTATTTTTATCTGTTTTCTTCTTATTAGATTAGATTAGATTATTTTAAAGTAATTAATTATATTTTATATTTGATCTTTTTTTTCAGATCACAAACTTTAATTATACTATTATTATTTAAATAGATACTATTTGTATAAAAGTTAAAAAAATCTCACACATATCTTAGACCTTAATGCTAATTGTAATATTTACATATTGGTGTTTGTTAAAATAAATTTCATGTATATGCTTAACTTATATGACCATACTTTAACCAGATTAGATAATTTAATTTTTTTTTCACCCAAACTCCTTCACAAAACTAAAAGAGAGTAGCAATGCTATAGCTGTATATATCCACATGACCATATATATCTTAAAAATGAACGAAGAAAACCACACAAACAAAAACTATATTAATTACCCCCATACACTCTCTCTCTTCAAAACCACACTTCTCCATCTCTATCTATAATATATACACATACCCAAATTAAGTTGCTAGAGTTTCTCCCTCACCAACTACACCATTCACCAACCCTTATTTTTTCTTTGTACTTAAATTGTATAATGTTAATTGTGATGAAGACTCACCTAGGTCCTCTGCCTGCCTTGAATGCCCAATAAAAATAATAATGTACTAGGCCTTGTAGTTAGTTAATAATGTGATCCTATCATTATAAACAAATTAATCAAAGATTAATAATTCTTAAGAAATTACTACTTTCCCCCAACTTCCATAGCAAACTTGTTAATTGTTTATTCCTAGCTCCAAGGGATTTTTAAAATTAATCTTGAGAGTTGCTTGCATTAAAAAAATGATGTTAGAGGGCACATACAGTTTATTTTATAGTTTAAGATTGTCAATACATTTTATCTCTAATGCATATCAGTTATGAGTAATAATAATATAATTTGATTGATCTAAGTATATCCTAATATATTTTTGGACTCTTATCTTGTCGTTTGCTCTTTATTATATACCAACCTGATATCTAAATTGATGTAGACGATGAAGACACTATTATAAAATTGTCCAGAAAAAAAGATAAAGGTGGAGAATGATTGATATCAGCTCAATTAAATATGAAAAAGAAGGAATAAATGATAATATTTTTTAAATATTTTATAGTAAAACTTAATTTTTTGAGTAAAATTAGGAATCTTTAGAAGAGATTTTCATGCAAATTTTTTAATATGCTTATGTGAATGATTTTGTCATATAAATTACACTAGAGTCATCATTAATCTTTAGTATTTGTTATTTTATTTTAAGTCTATCAATAATTAAGATGTCTTGCAGTCTTGTGAAAAGTATGTGCTCTGTGCTGAGGTTATACAAACCATCTTAATATTAAGTATTTGATAATATTTTTATTAACACATCAACAATATATTATTGTATTTTTTTCAAACTTAACACTATATTTAGTGACTAAGATAAACACATTGGAGATTGGTAATTTGATCTGATAAATAAATATATTACATGAAGTTTGTTATATACAACTTTAAAAAAATAATGTTATGTATGCATGTATATAAAATTATATATTGATCACAGTTTTACACACAAATCTATTTCATAAATTTTTTAAAATATTTAAATAAAATATTTGTCAATGTAGTAATCCATGTTTATAGATTTTAATTTAAAATAAATCTAACTTATTTTATATTAAAAAAATAATTTTAATATTTAACCACGTACATTGCACGTGCACAATAACTAGTAAAAATTGAAAATTTTGTGATAAATCCAGCTGCAAGACACATGATCAGAAGCCCATATGCTGACCCGAGGGAGTTCGGGCCCAGACTGGCCTGGTAGTTATTCCGCACAGGCCGAGTCAGGCCACAGCCCATCCCTGGCCCCAAATTTAGCGAGTCGAATTCTATATGTACACTCCGTCTCCTTTTTCGCGATACGAGAGATCAGAAAGCAGAAGGCTAGTTATTTGGCGCACGCCATTTTCCTCCATCTACCTCTCTTCAATCTTTCAAGCAATGGGAGGCGACTGGGTGTACGAGAACAACGGAGGGTAAAATCTTGATCCCATCATCTCCTTCTCTCTCTTTCTAGGATTTTAGCCCTAGTTTCGTATCGAACCCTTTCGATTTTTTCAGCACATGCGTCGCGATCGCGGGCTTGGATTACTGCGTCGTGGCTGGGGACACGAGGCTTTCCGTTGGCTATAGCATCTACACTCGCGATTACTCCAAGATCTGCCAGCTGTAAGCCTCCCTTCTTGTTAGTAATTTAGGGTTTGGGTTTAGCTTCCGTTTGTATTGATGGATTTTTGTTTTATGGAATATTAGGATTTATATTTTCATTATTCATTCATGTGGTTGAGAAACCTAATTTTGTTTTGAAAATTTGCTCTGAGCATCATTCATGTAGAAAATTGTTATTTTGATTGAAAAAGGAGGTAGATTTAAGTGTGGATGTAATTTAGGATATTTTAAGTAGTTCACACATAATTTTTAGTTTTTATGCTGTGCATGGTGGTGACCTTTAACGGATTTTGAAATCTGTAATAAACTAAACTGAATGCTCCACGTTTATTGATACACTCTGTTGTTGGTATTATTCTTGAGTAGTACAGGGGTATTTTTTGTTAGAAGAAAGTAGTAGCTCAGTTTAACAAAAATTTAGTTGTAATGATGACCATTTGTTTCAATGTAACTATGTAGGAGCTACAGTTGCAAAAATGAGCTATTTTTATAAAATATAACTTGTTAATTTTGAAAATGCACTATCTAATCTTTCTTATTAAACTCAATCTAGGATCTCTACAAGAGTTATTTTAATCAAGTAGCTATGACTTCACCACAAAAATTAAAATTTATAAGTTGACCTTTGAGATCCTCAATATCAATTTCTGTCTATAAGCAGCGTAACAAGCTCCTCTTGGTGATCAGTAGATTTTAACCATCTAAAATGGAACAAGATACATCACCAAAATCTGCTAGGTCCTTAGTCTATCAATAATTTTCCCTCAATCCGTTATAGTTTCAGTTATAAGTTAGCAATGATTTTAGTTATAGTTTTGATCTAAAATGATTACATTGAATGTTAAAATAGAAGTTATTCTGAATAATTTCCTTTTCAAATGTATAATTTCCTTTTCGATACCGTAAGTTATTCTGAATAGTTTTGATCAAAACACTAATTCTGAATAATTTCCTTTTCGATACTGTAAGTTACTCATATACCGTTTAAATGTTGACGTAGTTATTAGACAATCAAATAAAATCTCTAATACGAAGATATTTGTGGAACTTTTTTTATTCTGCTTAACAAAAATGTGCATTTAAACTTATTGGCATATTATGTTGAACAATGGTGTTTTGACTTATAAAAATTACAACGAAGGATCCAAGTTCTAGTAGCTATTTATTGCTACCTCTAGTATTAGCAATGCACAAGGCACAACGCAGGGCGCAAAGTCCATTTAAACGCACATTTGCATGGTACAACGCAATGCATGCGTCTAAGTGAAGCGAGATGCATATTACACATAATTTTTAAAGATAGATAATTAAGCAAAAAACAACATTTTAATGAATTTTTAGTAAAAAATATGCCAAGATAAATAAAATTTACTATCAAATAACAAAAGAAAGTTTTAATTCATAATGCTCACACACCCAACATAGTAGCAAAGATCATAATTTTCCAAATCAATAGTCTAATCATAATTAATATCGAAGTAAAACCAAATAGTAAAATAGAATGAGTTAGGGTCATCAATCAGGCTACCAAAAAGACCTAATGAATTTATTTTCTTTTTTGGGATAGGGATTATCGTGTACAAAGGCCCGATTGACATGTTAAAAATTAGAAATATACGAGGCTATGCCTTATACGCTCTTTGTGCAAAGCGGCGCCTTCGCGAAGGGCACTTGCTATGTGCAAAAAAGATGTTACCACTTCAAATGAAGGGTGCTTTGCCATTGCCCAGCATTACAAGGAGCATGAGACACGATGAGGCGCACACCTTTGATAACATTGGTTAGCTCTTATTAGTAATTTAGGGTTTTGGTTTAGATTCCTGTTTTATTGACTGTTTTTATTTATGGAGGATTAGGGTTTAGATTTCACTTCATTCATGTGTTTTAGAAACCTAATTTTGTTTGGAAAATTTGTTTTGAATGCAGCTAAGGTAGAAAGTTGTTATCTTGATTAAGAGGGTAGATCTAAGTTTTGAGGTAACATGATTTGACCTTTGAGCTACGTTACTCGGACAGGGCTATTTGGCGCTGTACCCGTGTTCAACATGTTTTTGGCACTGCATACCCAAATGTCTTCGACACGGATTGGTTCTCTTTAGGCTTATGTGGTTTGAGGTAGAGGAAGAAGATGAAGTATTCCTCCATCTTTTCTCTTAATTTTTTATTGTTAGTGGAGGATGACACCATTTGTCACACGAGGGTAAAGTGAAGATGTTTAACCATGATAGGTTATGGGTTCCCTATCTTTTATCTTTTTCTTGATAGAGTTGTGAGTAGCATGTGGTACGAGTTTGAGCTTGTATTTTTTTTCCTTTGTGGAATAGAAAGGCATATATTTTAAAGAAATTAGTTTCATTATTTGGGAATTTGAGAACAAGGTTCAATCTAATAAAATAACATAAAAATAAAGTGACAGTGGAAACATGAAGATAGTTGTTAATTTTAATTTAAATTGTAAATACACACACACATATAGGGTTTTCTATGAAAACCACCTTAACCTTTATCCAAATTGCAACTTACCACATTTATTTATTTTTTATGTAAACCACCTTAGTTTGCTTTCATGTTCTCAATGTCACTTTTGATATTTTTGGTTTTTATAAATTTGAAGTTACTACAATACCCCTTAGTCTAACCTAATAGAAAAAAGGAGAGGAGGCAGAGAGGAAGGGGAAAGGGGAGGGAAGGTAGTCGGACGATTGCATGAGTGGAGATTGGCAAAGAGAGAGAGAGAGAGAGAGAGAGAGAGAGAGAGAGAGAGAGAGAGAGAGAGAGAGAGAGAGAGAGGGGGGGGGGCGGGGGGGAATGGAGGAGGAGGGGAAGGAGGTGGAGGAGAGGAAGGTGAGAATGGGAAAGGTGAGAGGGGAAAAGAGGTGAAGAGGGAGGAGAGGAGAAAAGAGGTTAGGGCTTAGAGAAACCCTATATAAATGGAGGAGATTGTGGAGGAGGACGGGGAGGGGAAGAGGAGAGGAAAGGAAGGAGGTGGAGGGAGTGGGGGTAAAATGGGTATATCAAAATTATTTTGGCTGAATAGTGGTGAAGGTGTGACATAAAGAACATTTGAGCAAACTAAAATGGTCTACATCAAAAATATATAAATAAATAAAGATGTTAAGTTGTAATTTGGGCAAAAGTTAAGATGATTTTCATGTAAAAACCCATATATATATATTCAACTGTGTCCCCGTACCTTATCATCTACAAATTTGCATTTGAGTATATAAGTTTGAGCTTTAAAAATAATTCATTGTATTTGAGGAGATCAGAAAGATGTTAGTAGTTTCTATTCTATGTATGACGGCATCCTCTTTAATTGATTTTGGAAGCTGTAATGTTGGCGGCAACCTCTTTAGTGCATTTTGGAAGCTGTAAAGTAATAAAGTAAGCTGAATAATGACAGGTTATTGTCACACTCTATTGCTACTATATAACTGTAGATACAATCTATAAAAGACGGTTGTAATTGTAGTTGTTTCAGTTTAACTATATTGCAACTAGTGTTGCAAAACATCAGTTATTTTATTAAAATAACTTGTGGCATGCAAGTTGTTTTTACAAAAAAGTGTTTTTTTATATCTGAAGTTGGCAAAAGGCTACAATTAGAGCAAAACTAACATATACAGTTGCAGTAGTCTTTGTAAATTGTAAATACCGCTGTAGTTTTTTATGTATCAAAAGACCCTTGCATGTGCCTTGAAGATTTTTTTCGTTTTCCTCTAAATTAGAGGAAGGACTCCAACATTGAAAAATGTATCAAACAACTCCCACACATTCTGTGGAGGTTTTTTTTGTTTTCCTCTAATTCAGAGGAAAACTTACGGATTAGGCATTAAACAAGTGATTTTTTTTTGCAATGGAGATTCTTTTGTTTTCCCTCTTTCTTATTGTTTTCTCAATTTTAGAGACTAATTTTTTAATCAAGTTGCTAGGGGTTTGCCATTAACATTAAAAATAAGAAGTTGACCTTTGTGATCCTCAATAACAAGTGATCACTGAAATGGCAATATTACAAGGAATTCCTATAGGTAATTAGCAGATTTTAGCCAGATAAAATGGGCATTTGATGCATCTTAGGCACTATTATAAGTTGTGGCTGATTGCCGCGTAATTGCGGCCGCAATTGGAGTTGCGGCACCCGCCCTTAATGATTTCATCAAAAGAGGGCAAAAAAGTGGCTATACTGCTATTAAATTGAAATAGCGGCAAAATAAGCGTAAAAGCGCTAAATAGCAGTTATGAGCACCAAATAGTGCTTTTAAGCGCTTAATATGGCATTTTAGATAAGTCGGTTTTTTAAATGACCTGACCTGAAATCTACCCAAACCCGACCCTAACTCACCTCTCCACTTAATACCTGATTCTTTTCTCTTGATATCCCCTCTCCGTTTAATATCATAATCCTAATTTTCCTCTCTAGTCTTCACTTCCACTGCTTCCCTCCACCGGCTCTGCCATCTCGCTTCACTAACTTCGTTGCCTCCGCCACCTCCTTGGCTACAACTCCGCAACTCTGCCACTTCCTCCACTCCAACTCCTCAACTTCCCTGCCTCCACAACATTCTCAACTCCTTACCACTGACTCCACCACCTTCTCATCTCTTCAGTTCGACACATGCAAGTGCAACGTTGAGAAGTAGTTAATTTTTTGCTTTTGTAAATTTTTTTTGTTTTATGTTGTTCTGATGTTGTAAATGATGGGTAATTAGTTAGGTCAGTTATTGTGTGATTTGTAGAATTTTTACAAATGTTTTGAATATTTCTTATTTTTTGAATATTTATACATGTTTAAACTAGATCGCATTATTGCGATATATTGTAGACCCCTCCTTGATCCTATATTAAAGGGTGCTCCTAAACTGGCTCACAGCAGTTATCTCCTGTAGCTTCAAGCTCACAAGATTTGCTTTCTGACTTAATGCATCAGCCAGACGATTTGTGTCCTAGCTTATACTCTATACACATATTGAACTCAACTAAGAAATCTTTCCACCTTATTTGTTTTGGGCTGAGCTTCTTCTAGTTTTGGAAATAGCTGGTCACTATCTTATCCATTCAGACAATGAGTGTTAACCCGAGCAGACAATGTCTTCAAGTGCGTAGTTAGTGCACTGTGGCAGTCAACCCATTTTCTTGTACTGTGTATTTTTGCTCAGTGTTATTGAGCTTACGACTCTCAGAGTCAATTGGGTGCCCCTCTTGCATAAGAAACCACACCAATGGCATAGTTCGAAGCTCGAAGCATTTGTATGTACCTCGAACGACTTCACATGATCCGACAAGGCCAACACCGGATCAGTCATGATGGCTTCTTTAAGTCCTCAATGGCCTCTGGACATTCTCTCGCCCAATGCCATGGTTGTTTTTTTAAGCAGATTAGTCAAAGGTGCAACTTGACCCAAGAAGTCTTCGATGAACCTACGATAGTAGCTTACTAGGCCAAGAAAAGATCTTAACTCATATACCTTTGATGGGGGATCCCATTCCTCTATGGTCTTCACCTTCTCATTGTTCATGCAAATGGTCCCTCCCTTGATCTGATGTACAAGGAACCAGACTGATTGTTGAGTAAAAGAGCACTAGATAGGCTTAGCGGTTCCTGACTGCTACCCAATGCTATCTGCTATCCACAACATTGTTGCTTGGTTCCCAGTTATTACAACAATTTTCCTTTTTTGTGAGTCATTTTTTCTTATATTTTTTACTTAGTAGTTTATTCTTCCCTTCACCTTTGACTATTTCATTTTAGAATTGATCTTATATGATTCCATTGGAAACTTGCATCTTCTAGATATTTTCCTTTCCAATTGATAGTGTATCTAAGTTATTGATTTAATGTTTGAATATGACATAGTGGTTGGCTATATCGTAAAATCTTTAATACAAAATTTTAAAAAGCAGTCTAGACTCCCACCTAGACTCTTGCCTAGGCCTAGATGATACTTAGGCCATCTACGCAGGTCTTTGGAGTGACTAGGGGAACATAGACCATTACGTAGATTAGAAAGCTTTGAGGTTGTGTGTGAGTTCCTTCGTTGCTGCCTAATGTTTGAATATGACATAGTAGTTGGCTATATCGTAAAATCTTTAATACAAAATTTTAAAAAGCAGTCTAGACTCCCACCTAGACTCTTGCCTAGGCCTAGATGATACTTAGGCCATCTACGTAGGTCTTTGGAGTGACTAGGGGAATGTAGACCATTACGTAGATTAGAAAGCTTTGAGGTTGTGTGTGAGTTCCTTCGTTGCTGCCTCTACGTCCTCTTACCCATTGGCTTTCTCCACCAACTCCTACCACCCGCTCTACCTCTAACCTTTAGCAAAATCTCCTCTACTCCAGCTAACAAAAAATAAAAAAAGTAATCCACCTAGGAGCTGCTTAGGTTGTGTCAGATTACCTTTGTTGCTGCCTCTACGTGCTCTTACCCGGCCTTCTCCGTTGGCTCCTGACACTTGCTCTACCTCTAACCTTAAGCAAAATCTCCTCTACCTCCGATTAAAAAAAAGTAATCCACCTAGGAGCTACCTAGGTAGCAGCCTAGGCACCTAGGCGCTAGGTGCCGAGTTGGCGCCTAGCGTTTAATATAACATTGTATGACAAACTTTTGTAAACCTGATTACCAAAATATTTTTGAACTTATTGGCATATTATAGATATTTTGGTGTTTCTGACGTGTAAAAAGTAGAACAAAGGATCATGAACGTAGTAGCTCTTTGTAAAGATTCTTGATACTCAACAGCAATTGGCTACTAGTCTACTAAAAACCATGATGTGGATAATCTATGCAGTAGACACTCCTTACTGAACAACTGATCTGTGAGTATAGCAATATGCACTTAACCAAAATCACCACCTATCTCATAATCCTGAACTTGAGGATTCACTCCATAGATATAATTTATAGTGAACTTTAGTAAATGGAGAAATAACATAAAATGGTTAACCATTTGGTTTGTTGGGTAATTTGGACTCCGAAGTTCTTCACGAGTGTTGAAAAGAAGCTTCGTCATTCTGTGGGGTCTTATAATTATTAGTGGTCTTGGTTAAGTTTAAAGTAGATTTTGCAACATTTATTTTGTAAATTTTTTAAGTATGAGGTTTTATGAATTTTTTTGTTGGTTTTTACTACCTTTAATCTGAAATTAGTTTTATCAGTAATACCAAATGTTGGAAAGGAAAATATAAAAATCCAGAGTGAAGAATGCCCAACCTCAATGATGATATTGTTGTACTTATTACTGATCATGGTCGGACTTAAAGTTATGTAATGAAAAGACAAATCATGGTCAACATCTTCCCTTGTATTTGGCTTAAAAATTATTGTCAAATAATGGTGCGATTCTCAATACATTTAATGATTTAGGAGCTGTAATAGCTATAATCAAGCTCTTTTCTTTCATGAACTAGAAAAAGAAAAGATTTTCTACCTTAAACTGAAAACTAGACGTGTTTCCGACTTTGAGAGATGCAAAGTAGTATCGAGGTAATCTGGATCAATCTCTTGTAATAATATTGGAATAGCTATGATAGTGCTGAGTAGGTTATATGTTCCATGAGAGGGGTCGACCAGTGATGTTGCTGCATCACATTAATACAATAAGATAGGATTAGCTGTGCTAACTGGGTTATATGGCCAATTAAATGAAACATTTAGAGTGTGTCCTGTGTTGCCCCTAATGATTTCTGCGCAATTGCTTATCTATGAGAGTCCGATAACTCAATTCAATGTAGCATCTGTGCGTTCCCGTCTCCTTGCAGTGATTGTAGGGGAACACTATCTTCCATTGCGGTAGCTAACTACCAAGTCTGACCATTGTCATATGTTAAAGAATTGCTTGTTGGTCATAATGCTTTTAGTTTATCTAGCAAAGAAACTGGTTGATGATCCATTGTTTATGCATTTATCTTATTGACTAGGTTCAAAACTTATCGATTCATGTTTTTATCATTAGAAACTTATTTGTCATGTGCATATGCAGAGCAGACAAGTGTGTATTAGCATCCTCTGGATTCCAGGGTGATATCAAGGCCTTGCAGAAAAACTTGGCTGCAAAGCACCTGGTGAGTGCAATTGAGCTGATCACTGACTTTTAGATAAAGCACATTCTTACTCCTCAGAAAGTTGCCACTGATAGCATAAATATGTGTCAAACCACTGAAAGAAGCAATCTACATGGTTAAACATTCAATTTCTTGCTTTTCATGATTGCGGGCCTCATTTCTATGGTATTCAATTCTCCAATTGTTTGCACCCTTCAATTAATCGGTATTGTTTTGGCCCATTTATGGATGTTCCTTTGGGTATATTTGATGAGGGGTATTAAGGCTGATACTTTGGTACGTCTCTTTTTACATCTAGATGTTGGTAATTAAGTAGCAAGATCTGCTGTTTGATATTAAGTCAATAGTCCTGAAAAGTCCAGTCAGAGAATGTTGTATCACCCACTTATGTCATGATAAAAAGATTATGGATACGTTATAGTTGACACAATTATTAATGGCACAACCAGATCCAAGAAGTTTGAGTTCAAATGTTGGGAACACTGGAAAGGCATCTCTTATGGAGATTTTGACTGAACATTTCATGATTGCTTTTTCTTCTCTGCTGACATATTTAAAATCTTTAATGGTTGCTAATTGGTGAAGGATATTATTGTCCTTTTGCTTTTATGTGTTATGGCATGATTCATTGAGTCATGTGTTTATATTGATTTGTTGATGGCAGAACCATGACCATTCATCACTCTACTTATACACATATATCTCCTCTAGGGTGGGTTTGGAAAGCTTTTTTTAATAGGGGAGGGGAGGAGTTGAGAAGGTTACAATGTTCCATATATGAACTGTGTTTGTTTACATTTTTTAGTGAGGGGAAGGATTGGGAGGGTTAAAAAGAAGCAAATTTCCTCCCTTTAACCCTCCTAAAGTGGACAGATTGAGAGGGGAGCGATTGAGTTTTAAGTGATATTTTCTTAAAATTCCAGAATTATCCCTGGACTTAAGTCATATTTATCATGTAGTTTCCCTCTCTTTCTATTCTCTACTCTAAACAAACACAAATCAGAGTGTACCCCTCTCTTTCCCCAATTGTCTATCCGAACACAATTAGTTCTATCACTGCGCCCCCCCTCCCCCGTGCACCAAAAAAAAAAAAAAGAAACTCACTCCCTTTGGATTACTATAATCATTTGCCTCCCCTAGCATCATTTGTATCAAAACCCACCGTTAGTCTTATCCTTATGTGTTTCTTGTTATTCTTATGTGTTTCTTGCTAATGATCAATATTATCGTTATTGTGTTGGATATCTAATTTCCTTTTAGATATCAGATTTGTCTGATATTTCATTTCATGAGTACATGATTAGGGCTCATCTTTACTGTCAACGGTGGTAGGTATTAGATTGTTCTTTGTAGTCCAGATAAATCAATGTTATGAGGACTTACTGATGAATTACTGATGAATTATTTTGCATTCTTCTTGATGCTACATTTAAAAGTATTAATAAAAAGGTAAAATAAGCTCTGTGCTTCAACATTATCTTAAATAATCCTTAGAAGTTCAGCACCACAACTTAGGACATTATATAGAACTGCATGTTCTTTTTTGTTTAAGATGTGGTATACTAATATGATAAAAAAGAAAACAATATAAAAGGTAAGACTTCAAATGAAGCAAGGTTAAGGGATTGTGATAGCTGTTGTATTTGAAATGGATACAAATGCAGAGTATATGTCAAAATGGTGTGCCCTAAAAGAGAGCACATGACTACTGGATCATACCACAGAAGTCCTAATTTCCTGAAACTATTTTGATATTGTGACTATGATTTCCAAATGTTGTCTATATCAGAATTGTATACATTAAATATGTGGGCCATGGATCTGACTGGGTCATAAACTGAATTGTGTATCCTTAGCTTTCAGATTTGTCGTAAATGTAATAGAAGCATCCATCAACAGTTATCTAACTGAAACAAGAAAAATCAACTGCCATGATTGCATAAAATGTTAAAGTTTCTTTCCATAAGTATATTTGGTTTGCTATGTGAATCAATTTGCTTGTGTTGCTCCGATTTCATATGAAAACTGGAAACCGAAAGAAAGATGATAAGAAAAATTTGAAGGATATTATGTTTTCCTAATCATGGCCACTGTTAAACTACAAAAGGACACGTTTCCAACCTAGTAGAGGAGAAGTAATTTTTAGTGTAGTGAAAAGCAGAGATTTCCAGCTTGTCTTTAATTTTGCAGCTGAACCTCAATCTATATTCTCAATGTTGTTTAATGAGATTTCAAGCTATGAAGCATGGACACGCATAACATGAAGCCGTGTCGTGTCGTGTCCGTGTCGGACACATGTCGAACACACGTATCCTATGTATTTTTTAGGATTTGCCTCGTGTCGGCGTGTCGGATGGCCGTGTCGGATCCGTGTCCGTGCTACATAAATTTCAAGTGATGCAGTAAGTCTTCAAGTTAAAACAGATGAAACTCCAAGCTACACACGTCGAACTGTACAATGGTAAAACCTAGTATGGTTTTCCATCCCTTCTTTTCTCTAAATGTATGTGAACTTTAATTAAAAGATCCACGCATTGAAATGTAAAAAATCGTAATTTGATATCTGGTCTGGGTCTGTGAAAACCTTATATTGGATGGTAGAGTTTGTGGATTTCAAGATCATATAAGGGTGCACAGACATAAGTTTATAACTGGTGGTTTAAGTTTTTGTAGGAAGATGTCATGTTCAAACCTAGAGAAAATGAACTATAATGAAACCTTTGTAATTTGGAGGCACCTGTTTGTTTGTGGAGGAGGAATCCTACTTTAGCCCATGTAAGGACTTTACTATTGCTTACTCCTGTGTAGCCTGGTGGTAGAGACCCCATCATCTTCTCTCTTTTGTCCATGCCAATTCTTTAGTGACCTTTAATAGGAAAACAAATGAAAGTATCATTTCAGCTTGGTGATTGCCTATGTTACTTAGATACTTCTATTTGGAAGCCATACCTATACCTAACATGTACCTTTACCGATACCCAAACTTTCTTGGACACTTTTTGAATATGTGCATATGTTTTTCTCAAGCATATACTCCATTACATACTACCTGTTTTAATTTAAAACACTCATACTAAAGCTACAATCCAATAGAATAGGAGTGCGTATAATCACTTGTTGAGCCATAATTATGTTTGTGACATAGGTCCCTGAGGTTCTTTTTCTGTATAGTGGTAGTCCACCATCGTAATTGGTAAAATTCGGTCTGCATTAAATAAATCAGAGAAATAACTCTGTAGTTTGGGCGATAAGGCGTGCAGATGGCGGACAACTTATTTAAACTGTCAGCTTTTCTCTTTTAGTATTATGTAGAATGCTTAATCCTTTCCTATCATTTGACATTTTCTTCGTGTTTGAATCTTGTACCTTTTTTGTGCCATAAGGCAGTGGTTTATTTTTCATGATTGCATTCATAATAAACAAGACTAACAGGTTTATATGAGGAAAACTTATCAAATAAACAAAGTCAATATATCATCATCACATGGTTAAAAAAAATTGCATAACGTACTGTTACAGAGGCATAATTGATCAACCGATAACGAAAAACATGAAACTTAGTAAATAGACAAATGTTGAATGTGTTATGTATTGTTACCTTGTAAGAGGTGTACACCGAAATATCTCTTACCACCAACGGACGATTACGAACCGGCTAACAAGAGCTTTCGTGCTGATAACGTGTTGTAATATATTAAAGAAATGAATCAAGAGACAAGAGAAGAAGAGAAATTGTAATTTTATTCATCACATCTATTTTCATACATGGTACAATTTATAGATACATGATGGAAGATAAAAGAACATTAGACTAATGAAAAGATAACAAGTTAATAGTCCACATACAAAGTAATGTCCACATACATTTTATCTTTTAGATTTCAACAAAATATCTTTTAGATTTCAACAGTTTAGGTACTGATAATACCTGAAAAATGCTGATACTAATTAAATGATGCATATAATGTCATGGGTGGTAACAAATGTCACTGAAATTTATTGCTACTTCGACATAAATCAGCAACTCCTCTTATAAGCTGAACTCTGAAGGTGATTCCCTTTTTTTATTCCTGTTCTGTAAGTACAGTATTTCAGATAGAAATGTGAAACCATGTTCTCTTGGAGTCTTGCTTGCTTTATGCTGTGAGATGATTCTATAGAAAACGAAAAAACTCCCCTTGATCCTCAATTCCATGGGATTAAATTGCATGATTAAAGAAAAGGTTTGTGAATCAGCTAATTGGCTGCTCTTGTTCTAGGGCTTGTGAACCATCATGCTTACGCTGCTTACCTTCATCAGAAAATTTGCATAATAGATTGTTAATTCTACGTCAGTAACTTTGTCACTGGAACTTGCTGAATTGTTTTGAATTGTTTTGGACTTCTTTATTGTTCTTTTCTTATCGAGACAGGAAGCTGAGACCTTCTGCTATGAACTCCAAACCTTTGTAACATGAGGCAGGCCTCAGGGGTGCGCACACGGTCATTTTGATGGGATACTTCTAGTTTAGTTTTTGATGGTGATGTTGATGGCATGATGTTATAACTATTCTTCCAGCCTATTTTCGGGCTTATATTCAAATATGGGTCTGCCATATTTGGGTTGATAAATTGGTAAACATGCTTTGTATATATGCCATCTATATACACTTTATTAGACTGAGAACATGCCCAATATTAGTCCTAGTTTGATCTAAACTATTAGGCTCTTTCTTGTATACCGAAATCTGCTTTTGCTCTTGCATAGCTATAGTGATTTATTTTTCCTTATATAAGATCAGATGCTTACATTACTCATATTCTTCTTTCATCCAGACATATCAACATCAGCACAGTAAACAAATGAGTTGCCCTGCAATGGCTCAGCTGCTCTCAAATACCCTTTACTACAAGCGTTTCTTCCCATACTATGCTTTTAATGTTCTGGGGGGCCTTGACAATGAAGGTTGAGTCGGTTTCAAGCTTATGTCTTTTGACTTCATCAAACTCTCAATGCTTATCCACCTTATTTCATCTTCAGGGAAGGGTTGTGTGTTCACATATGATGCTGTTGGATCTTATGAGAGGGTCGGTTACAGTGCCCAAGGTTCCGGATCAACGCTCATCATGCCAGTGTTGGACAACCAACTGAAATCTCCGAGTCCTCTCTTACTTCCTGCCAGAGTATGATTATTCAATAAATTTGATTGAATTTAAAATGTTATCTTGTAAAAACTTACCTTTTTCTGCTTTTAAACTTGATCAGGATGCTGTTACCCCTCTTTCTGAATCAGAAGCCGTCGATATGGTAAAAGATGTTTTTGCTTCTGCTACTGAAAGGGATATATACACAGTATGTCTGTTGAATCCTGCATTATTGTATGGTTAGCTAGAAATAAAACATATCTATATTTCAGTACTCAATATCTTTGTTTTTTTTTCTTTCTTGGTTTTCTGCAGGGAGATAAAGTTGAAATTATTGTCATTAATGCAGCAGGCACACGCCGTGAATTTATTGAACTCAGGAAGGACTAGGTTCGCTTCGATGGTCTGCTGTTATGCGGAAGCTTCGGATACTGTTTCAAGGGCCTGGGTCATGGTGAACTTGTGCTGTCTTGCTTTACTCTCCCAGTATAATTTGTTCTAGTAAAATGGTTCAATGGGAACACTAACTTATATGCTTAGAAAGGGAAATTTTTGGTTGATATGTATTGACTAAATGTATTCCTTTGAAGTTGGGATTATTGCAGTTTTTTTAGTTCGTTAATGCAAAAGTTTCAAGATGTTTCTCATGGACTAGTATAATGATTGCACTTATCTGATAAGAGAAATGATGATGGCTGCAGGCTACCACTTTCTATTTGGATTAATTGAAATTTATCTGTTAGAGTATTTGATCAACCAAATAAATTGTATTTTTCGTAATTTACTAGCTTTAATAGATAAAGATAATAACATTCGTTTGAGAGAGTTGAGTAGCCAGTTGTAAAAATCAAGATTTAAATATTAGATATCGGAAAAATATCAGATGGTCAAAATTCATATTGGATTGTGGATATTAGAAAAATATTGAGGAAACGTGGTAAATATCGGAATGTCATAGCGAATGTTTTCATATATAGTATAATGCACTAAAATGTTAATGAAATCTAAATATACAAAATGTAAATAATACATGTTTAGGATCACTAATTAATATTGTAAAACAAATTAAATTATAAATAAATATTGCAATGTCTTGTCTGATTTTTTTAGGGCAAAATGCCATCTATTCCTTTATACAAATAGGAAAACCCAAGATTCACTATTCATGATACAGCAAATGCTACAGTACCATTTAATGTAGCATAAGTACTGTAGCGATAAGGAAACGGGATACCACATCATTTTTTTGAAAAGAGCTGTAGCGCAAGGGCAAGGTGAAATTTCAAAAAATTACTGTAGCAGAACGAGATACTGTAGCAATTTTAAAAGAACATTGCAGCAGAGCGGATACTGTAGTAATTTAAAAAAATCAAAAATATTGTAACATTAAAAACCAGAATTACTGTAGCAGGAAATAAAAAGATATGCCGTGCTTTGTACGATGTTCACACTAGTTTGATATAATGAGAAAATCATGATATCTCGCCCAATGTTACCAAACATGGTATATTGTTTTGCGACAAGCCATATAGAAATATACATCGGTCAACATATCGGCCATATTGGGGATATATTGACCAAAATAGCCAAAAAACGGTAAAGAATATTTAAAGATTATATCGTTAATGACAAACCCTTTAAAATAACATATTGGAGGATATATCGGGTCATGTCCGGAATATTTAAAACAATGGTAAAAACGTGAAGGTATCATGGTGAACCCTCTTCTATTAGTAAGATGTAAAGTGTTGTCGGAACTGAGAGATATAGCAGTAGTGCAGTCTGTTGACAAGAGACTTTTCTTCTTCCTTTTTGCGCTAGAGACATTCCTCAACATATTATTTGTAGGTTAAAATTTTAGTCCTCATTTCTTTGGGCCCGCCATATGTCTCTACTACGATGTGTTGACTCAGAAACTGAGAAAATGATGCGCCAATCTTTTTATTTCTAGCTTTTCATTAATGTAATTTGAACTTTTTAGGATCGTCATAAATGTTCTAGAAGAAGAATTGTTCTTTGTAGAAAACTACATGGGAGAGAACGTGCAATAAGAATCCCATCAAGACCATCCTTAGAAAACTAAATGGGAGAGAACGTGCAATAAGAATCCCATCAAGACCATCCTTAAAGAAGTGGGTTGTTTTGCGTTATTAACAAATAACTAGAATTTATAAAACTAACTCTCTTTAATATCTCTTGAGTAGTATAAATCATCATATTCTATAGGAGTGATGTAATAGAATCTTTACTTGTGAAAGAGTAGCTTTGCATACGTAATTTGTATTAGTAATTTATTTTCTGAATTATAGGAAAATAAGAAAGGCTAATTTATGAAGGTTTAATTTTAGAAATCACCTAAATGTCTCATAAAAGCCCGTCAATTATTTTGCTTTGAGAAAACCACGTCAGGTTTGGGCATATTATAGATAATCCCCTAAACTCTGAATATTTAAGAAATCCCCTCAACTATAGGATGACTCACAGAACCTCCATGATCTTTCATACTTTTCTCATCAAACCTCCCTAATGTTGTATATTCAAAATGTAAAATATTTAAAATAATTACCCTTTTAACAAAATAATCTCAGCCTTTGATTCAATAACAATTCCCAAAATTAAAAAACAAATTCCAAATAAAGAAAACACGTCCTCCCCTCTATCACGTTCAAAAAAATTCGCATTTCTCCTGGCGTGATCGTCTCCTCCGTCTTCTTCAAAAAAAAAATCTTGATCGTCTCCTCCGTCTTCTTGACAAAAATCGCGATTTTTTAGGTGACTCCTCCGTCTCCTGAGCCCCTCCACATCCGCGACTGCTCACCACCGAAGTCTCCTCTTCTGCGTCGGATCACGCCGCCGCTCAGCTTCGCCGCCTTCCGCCCAGCCGCTGAAGTCAGGTCTGAGCCCTCCACATCCCCTCACCATCGCCCCCTTTGAATTCAGGTGATTTTTTAATTTTGTATGTTATTTTTTTTTATCAAATTGATTTATACGCTCCCAGCAAAGATCCCAGTTTCCACCTTTTGCTTTCGTGCGTGCAAGATAATGAATGTGCAATCGAAATAATTCCTATGTCATAAAGCACACTTACAGACATGAGCGACAGGCCCACACCAAATAATGATAGGGAAATATGCAGATTATTTGAAATAAAAGTAAAGGTGCAAGTATAAGCATCCATATATCTAATGAATATGATTAATTTTTAGTTTAGATTTTAAGATTGGTTTATTGTTAATGAATTATGAATATGATTAATTTTTAGTTTAGATTTTAAGATTGGTTTATTGTTAAATTGGATATCAAGGTCAGCCCTCAGGCCATCCGCCCCCGCTCAGCGTCGTCGCTGAAGCTCGCACTCGCCCTCGATCTTACCCTCGCTTGGAGCTCGCTTTGACCTCTTCATCATCCCTCATGACTTCGAACAAATTGAAAGCGTCAACGCCTTCGATTTCTTCTAAAGCAAAGCCTTCCTCTTCTAAATGCAATCATCCTCTTACGTCGTAAGTAAATTATTGTCATATCGAGTATCTATTTAATTTTTAGGTTAATTGTTTGTGTTGATATGCGTCTTAATTTGCCCAAAAATATATAATTTTTAACTATTTCTGAATTATAATTTTCTTGTAGGTCTATGATAACACAATTGAGAATTCCGTCTAATTTGTGTTATTTTCGAGATTTAATTGATCAGCGAATAAAATTGGACGAAAGACACATAAAAGTCCTAGAGATGACGCCTTTTCACAACTTTGTCAAGTTACCCACATCCTTGAGCAATGAGCAAATAACAATTGATTGCTTGATTCAAAAATTTAATCCCGATACATGCTCATTCATGATTGGGAATAAAAATTATGTGTTTGGTATAGATGATATTCACCGAATTACCAGTTTGCCAAAGGAAGGAATTTTGATAAAAATGAGTGGGACGACGTCTAATACAATCTACACCAAATTTATAAAGAATTATAAGACACTCAAAGAGAAGAAGAGTAATAGCTCTAAAGGCAAGAAGAAAGCCGATGAGAAAAAAAGTGGTGATTTGGGGGAAGCGTGATAGAATGGCCGAGATGATTATAGATATGAATAATGAAGACCCTATAATATGTGTGAAACTTATTGTGGATTTCATTATCGGCTTCATATTATGTCCGCGAACATGTAAGACATGTCCCTTATGGGCATTTAGATATGCGGAGCAATTATCAACTTTGAAGAAATATAATTGGTGTCATGCGGTGTTTACTTTTCTTTGCAAAGAGATGAATAAAGCAAAGAAGTCTCTTAGTATGAGGGGATTAGGTCAGCACTCAAATGCTGGGTACATGGGTGGTTTTTCCTCTATTTTACTGGTGAGTTACATTAACATTATTTAGTATATCTTTTCAATTTGATAATGATTATTTTTTATGCACATGCTAATGTATAGTTTCTATATTGTAGGTTTGGTTTTATGAAAAAGTAGGGGAATTAGAATACACTTCAGATATTGAAAGGTTACCGTCGCTCTTTTGTGTGAAGAATACCGGAAAGTGGAGGAGAACTACTATGAACAAATTATATAGAGATCCGAAGTTTCTTACTGATAATAACAAAGAGAGTACTCCTCTTATTCATAAGGCATCGCCAAGAGTATTTGTACATACCTTTGCTCTCATAGTTCATTATTTCATATCTTATTTTTTATGTTCTATGTCTGCAACTATAGTATAAGTACTAATATGTGTATTTTTTGTCTTATAGGAATCAAGGAAAGCTGAATTAATTGCCTTAATTGCAGAGAAGACGTACGAGTTGAACGAGCTCACTACAGAATTACGAGAATTAGAAGAGCAAAATGCTAGATGCAAAAAACAAAACAATGAGAAAGAGGATGGCATAAATGTAAAATTTGAAAATAAAAGCGAAGAGGATATGGAAGCTAATGAATATGAAAATTTTGTAGAAACTGGGGAAACCGATATTGATAATGACCTTTTGATGAGTCCAATAGACATGAAAATTTTAGAAGAAGCTCGGTGAGTTTAGTTTTTTTTCAAATCTTTTGTAATTTTACTTTTTATACTTTTCGTATAATTATTGTGTTACTCTCTATTAATTATATGCATTTCAACTCCATAGCGATGTTTCTCAAAAAAAGGACGGTGGTAATGAGAATAAGAGAGAAACCCTATCTATCAAGCGGGCTGTCAGAAAGAGGATGAGGAAGGATGGACCCTCTGTTACTTCACCTTATATGTGCCTAAATCAAGCAAAGGAAGGCACAAAGAAGAAACGTGTCATCCAGATATTAGATAGTCCTGAGGGGAAAAAAAAGAGCAAAAATGAAGAAGGCTTCATACCTACATCTCTCGACTATCCAGGAAAGGTACTGGTCTTTGATTATGAGGACAAATTAATTGAAGACTTTCTACAATCGAAAATGACCAGGTATTTGTTACTGACTTATTCTAATAATAATCTTTGAATTTACTTAATTTGTGTTGCAATTTTCTCACAATGTACTTGCATATAGTGATACATACATTTGGAAGTGTGCCGAAGCAAGCGTATCTCGCTTAGATGCTTATAAACTATTAACAGGAGGTGAACTCAGTGATGATGTAGGTTCTAGACATTTGTGTTATGGTTTGTTTGATGTTGTATATAAAATCACTTATATTATCTACTTTATTCATTCATGGTAAATTATGTAGGTGATAGATGCATTTGTTATTCGGCTTTGGAACAAGATTGAAACAACTAATAGTTATGATCGAAAGATACATGTCACAAGGCCTTGGCTTGCAGTAAGTATATCCATGTTGTTTCATTAGTTTGTGGTTTTTATTAATATATAACACTACATTGTTGTGATCAATGCATCTTTTAGCAAGCATTTCTAGATGGAAATCGTGAAATGGTGGCAAAACGAATGAAGGAAAATGTTTCTCAGCAGAAGTTCTTGGAATGTGAAAGAATTCTGATCCCGATTGTCAGCTCCGGCCATTGGCACATAGTAGAGTTAGTGACAGAGGAGAAAAAAAATTCTATCACTACTCCTCAATCAAATCCCCCATTTATACCGCCGATGCTGCGAAATTTAAAAATAAGTTTATGAGTTTCATTCAGAGTAATTGTAGATTGGTGAAATTGGAGCATCATGTTCTTGTGTCAGTTGACACGCTACAACAAGGACCGTAAGTTTTTTCATGCATTTCTAATGTAAATGTTCATATTTTCTCATAGTCATTTTTAATATTGTTTGTTTTTCTTAAATGCAGAACTTTAGATTCCGAGATCTTTATGATTGAATTCATTAACAACATTGTCGAAAAGCGGTCGATAACAATTTCAGAAGGAGATTGTGCAAAGTATAGAGCAAAGTTTTGTGCAACTCTCTTGTATGCACGCGATTCGCCTTTTTTGTAAATATTATTTTAATTGTCACCATGGTGTTTGTTTTGTATGCAATATGTGGATGATATTATGTTGATGATACTTTATGAATAAGTGGAAGTGACAAAATGTTTATTGAAAATGTTGTTTATTTGTTACCCTCATTTGATACCCTCATTTGATATTATGTGATTGAAATTTTGTAAGTCATTGTTCTAGAGAAAAAGTTGTGCCCACTTATTCAAATGTAATAGCTCATTATTATTCTTGAGAAAATTTTATACCAATTTATTAAACGGATTGATTTGTGCATAAACTTTAATTAAAATTATCATCCATACATGATTAATCCATACGGCATCATTATCGTCCATACACGATTAATCCATACAACCAAATCATCCGTACGTACATAAACTTTAATTTAAATTATCAACATTCTTCAGAAACACATGCTTAGGCTCATTTTGTACCTCATTATTCTGAAATTTTTTTTTGTACCCGCTTAATCAAGTTTTGTACCTATTTATGCACGTTTTGTACCCATTTAGGCACGTTTTATACCCATTTAGGCACGTTTTATACCTCATTAATCTGGGTAAAAATTTTGTACCCACTTATTCAAGTTTTATACCTACTTAAGCTCATTTTGTACCTCATTGTTCTGAAAATTTTTTTTGGTACCCGCTTAACCAAGTTTTGTACCTATTTATGCACGTTTAGTACCCATTTATGCACGTTTTGTACCCATTTAGGCATGTTTTATACCTCATTAATCTGGGTAAAAATTTTGTACCCACTTATTCAAGTTTTATACCTACTTAGGCTCATTTTGTACCTCATTGTTCTAGAATTTTTTTTTGGTACCCGCTTAAAGAAGGCTTCATACCTATTTATGCACGTTTTGTACCCATTTAGGCACGTTTTGTACCTATTTACGCACGTTTTATACCTCATTAATCTGGAAAAAAATTTTGTGCCCACTTATTCAAGTTTTATACCTACTTAGGATCATTTTGTACCTTATTGTTCTGAAATTTTTTTTGTACCCGCTTAAAGAAGGCTTCATACCTATTTATGCACGTTTTGTACCCATTTAGGCACGTTTTATACATCATTAATCTGGGTAAAAATTTTGTACCCACTTATTCAAGTTTTATACCTACTTATGCTCATTTTGTACCTCATTGTTCTGAAATTTTTTTTGGTACCCGCTTAAAGAAGGCTTCATACCTATTTATGCACGTTTTGTACCCATTTAGGCACATTTTGTACCCATTTAGGCACGTTTTATACCTCATTAATCTGAAAAAAAATTTGTGCCCACTTATTCAAGTTTTATACCTACTTAGGCTCATTTTGTACCTCATCGTTCTGAATTTTTTTTTGTACCCGCTTAAAGAAGGCTTCATACCTATTTATGCACGTTTTGTACCCATTTATGCACGTTTTGTACCTCATTAATCTGGAAAAAATTTTTGTGCCCACTTATTTAAGTTTTATACCTACTTAGGCTCATTTTGTACCTCATTGTTCTAAATTTTTTTTTTGTACCCGCTTAGCCAAGTTTTGTACCTATTTATGCACGTTTAGTACCCATTTATGCACGTTTTGTACCCATTTAGGCACGTTTTATACCTCATTAATCTGGGTAAAAATTTTGTACCCACTTATTCAAGTTTTATACCTACTTAGGCTTATTTTTACCTCATTGTTCTGAAATTTTTTTTGTTACCCGCTTAAAGAAGGCTTCATACCTATTTATGCACGTTTTGTACCCATTTAGGCACGTTTTGTACCTCATTGTTCTAAAAATAAATTTGTACCCGCTTAATCAAGTTTTGTACCTATTTATGCACGTTTTGTACCCATACAACCACATTCTCATCCATACATTAATAATCCATACAACCAAATTATCCATACGTACATAACTATAATCAAATTATCATCCATACATGATTATTCATTACAACCACATTATCATCCATACATGATTAATCCATACAACCACATTCTCATCCATACATGAATAATCCATACAACCAAATTATCCATACATACATAAACTATAATCAAGTTATCATCCATACATGATTATTCATTACAACCACATTATCATCCATACATGATTAAACCATATAACCAAATCATCCATACGTACATAAACTTTAATTCAAATTATCAACATTCTTCCGAAACACTTGCTTTGTTTTGGCCCACCGTTAACTTTATTTTGGTCCTCCATTAACTTTCTCGACCTCCACCTGAAACATTTTTCTTTTGGCCCACCGTTAACTTTATTTTGGTCCTCCATTAACTTTCTCGACCTCCACCTGAAACATTTTTCATCTACAAAAAAATTACAACTTTATCATGAAAAATGCATCGACTTGAAAAATATATTAAAACAAGATTAAATATAATACCTTAGCTAAAGGACAACTCGTTATATAATGTCCTTTTTCCTTACAAAATCCACAAAATCTTTGTTTTTTTAAACTCTTTTCTTGTGCTATCTCCATTCCGGTCTTAATTCTAGTAGCCTGTGCTGGTCGTCCCTTCGTGGCAATAGGCTTATCTGGATCACGAATAGTGATTTGAGTTGCTTCCTCTACAGAGATGGGTATGGATGAAGTATGTATCTTATTGCTGGCATTACTCTCATTTCCATTGTCGTTATGTTCCTTCTCTTTCTTGTAATTCTCAACTTCTTCAAAAAACGAGTCTAAAAAAGCACTAAACTTATCATGAAGTGTACTTGAAGTCAGTGTATCTTCTAGTGCCTTGTTACATCTACTCCTAAGGGCCCAATGTTTAATGATAGAGAGTTGGTCTTCACTATTTGTAATACAATTTGTAACAACTCCGCAACCAACATGTCTTGCTTTAATTGTCCATCGTTGCATAATATATCTTGATGGAATTTCTAATACTTGCTCCTTTACTAAAATGTGCAAGCTATGTTTGCATAATATACCTTCCATCTCAAATTTCGCACAAGAGCACTTAATTCTTTTATCTTTGGATGCATCAAAAATAACATGATGCTTTACCCTCTTTTTGCTTTCAGCCTCGCTAGCTATATTCCAAACGGTATAAGTAGCACTTGTGCCGTCCTTCGACAACCTTTCATGAAGCATGAAGTAACTATCCTTGAGTTCTTTCTGAAAGATAGTAAACATATTCTTTGTATAATTCTCCCTAGCTTGTTTTTCAATGGGATGTTCAATTATCAATGTAGGAACGGCGTTTGTGGACTTAAAATCTTACTCAAGTTCAGCGGATCGGCGAGCTCCGACAACATTATCATATTGCTTAACAAAATCATGTAACTCGGTATTTGCATTCACAAAATGATCAAAAAAAGCATTAATTCCCTCACTCCGCTGAGTAGATGTCATTGCTGCAGTAAAAGTGTCTTTAAGATACACTGGAGCCCAATGATCTTGATGATTGTATAAATTTACTAACCAATTCTTTTTATCTGCGCCATATTTGTCCCTCATTTCTTCCCAACGCTTTATAAATTTTTCTTCTGATTTACTCCAATACCATTTGTTATACTTTATACCCACATCCTCACCATAATTATTATGCATTGATTGAAGATTTTGTACTGCATTCCTATGAAGGTGCCAAGAACAAAAACGATGACGAGTTTGAGGAAAAACTTTGTGAATTGCACTACACATAACTTTATCTTGCTCAGTGATGATTGTTAATGGTGCTATACCCGACATACAGTTTAACCATTGACTAAATAACCATATAAACGTCTCCTCTGTTTCATCTGCTAGTAACGCACATCCAAATAGAGTAGATTGTCGATGATGGTTAACGCCTGTAAATGGTGCAAACGACAATTTTAAATTGTTCGTTCTGTATGTAACATCAAAGCAAACAACATCTCCAAATTGCAAGTAAGAAGTGCTCGACCTACCATCCATCCAAAAAACACTTCTCATCATCCCATCATTTTCTAAATCAAGTGCAAAGTAAAATTGAGGACCAGATACCTTTTTCTCTTGAAATTGACGAACTATGCTCACACACTCATGGCCGACATTATTTTTTCTTTTGATTCTAAGTTGTGTTTGGCATTCTTGTTGAGTGAGAGAGCCTTGCTCATTTCCATGAGCAACGTCTACAACCTTACAAATGGTAGAAGGTCGTAAACCTTGATTGTCAATAGTATCTATCAACCTTTTTGTCGATTGAGCTCGATGACGTGTCCGATGTGAGTAGTGCTTCTTTACCCGATTTGGGGTGGTTAATGGATGACCATTATGATTAATGTTTAAATTTCGGACCACCCATTTTTCAGTGCTTCTACCGAGTCCAATAACCATCCTTGCGTTGCATCCACATCTTGTATCAAACTTTCGAATTACATTCCGACCTTCTTCTCTTTTATCTTTTAAAAATTTAAACCCTTCCTTGTCACATACAAATATTCTAGATATGATTACATCTTTCTTTCTCGACCAAGTTGTATGACCTTTGCGAACACCAAACCCCTTAAGTATGGCGTATACATTGTAGAAATTATAAACTTCCTCATGAGTAAAGAACTCCATTCCGATATATGGATCAACAACAAAATTACCTTCACAATTTTCAACGCCAATAGGCTCATCAACATTCTCCTCATGCTCGGATGCCTACAAAAATAGAAAAACAAAACTTATAAAACTCATACTAAAAGACAACTATTTTGGTATATGTCATTAGTTAGTAGTACACTATAAACAATAAGATATTATCACCTGAGATAAAAAACTTGTTGTAGATAGTAGATCATGTTCCTCACTTTCAAGGCCAATGGTTATAAGTTTGTTTTCATCTTCATCCATTGTTGTATCGAGTGAGAGAATTGTTGGAGTGTCCATACAAGCTATCAAATTATCACATATAAGAAGTTCAGATTCTTTAGAAAATCGTCATCAAGCTAATCTTTCAATCTCACTAAACAATTTCATTAGGATAGTTTAAATCAAATTTAAAGTTCATATCCAATTTAACAATAAACCAATCTTAAAATCTAAACTAAAAATTAATCATATTCATAATTCATTAACAATAAACCAATCTTAAAATCTAAACTAAAAATTAATCATATTCATAATTTATTAACAATAAACCAATCTTAAAATCTAAACTAAAAATTAATCATATTCATTAGATATATGGATGCTTATACTTGCACCTTTACTTTTATTTCAAATAATCTGCATATTTCCCTATCATTATTTGGTGTGGGCCTGTCGCTCATGTCTGTAAGTGTGCTTTATGACATAGGAATTATTTCGATTGCACATTCATTATCTTGCACGCACGAAAGCAAAAGGTGGAAACTGGGATCTTTGCTGGGAGCGTATAAATCAATTTGATAAAAAAATAACATACAAAATTAAAAAATCACCTGAATTCAGAGGGGGGGGCAGAAGGGGGCGAAGCTGAGCGGCGGCGTGATCCGATGCAGAAGAGGAGACTTCGGTGGTGAGCAGTCGCGGATGTGGAGGGGCTTAGGAGACGGAGGAGTCACCTGAAAAATTACGATTTTTTTGAAGAAGACGGAGGAGACGATCAAGATTTTTTTCTGAAGAAGACGGAGGAGACGATCGCGCAAGGAGAAATGCGAATTTTTCTGAACGTGATAGAGGGGAGGACGTGTTTTCTTTATTTGGAATTTGTTTTTTAATTTTGGGAATTGTTATTGAATCAAAGGCTGAGATTATTTTGTGGTTTTTTGAATCAACGGCTTAGATCGCGCATCCTTAGGCTAAACCTAGGGAGTCACCTTAGATTCACTTTACCCTATATATATATATATATATATATATAGGGATTTCTTCGGATGCGAAAAGTTTTCGCACAGTAACGTGCGAAAACGAAGAGAGGCGTGATTCGTTGAGTTGGATGACAGCTGGATGCCCGTGATTCGTTCAGCCCTCTTCTTTTATTCTTTTTTTATTCCTTCTCCCCTCCGTTGTTATTCTTTGTTTATTCCTTCTCCCCTCTGCCTTCTCCCCTCCGTTATTCCTAATTTCCTCCTGCAAAAATGGCATATTTTCTCCCTTCTTTGAGACCCTTTACAGAGATCTAAGCTCCATCGCAATCTCCACATCTTCATCAGCTCAAAGAAGATGATGCGAGCTAGCAAGAAGTCCACATCTAAGCTCCAATTTTGAAGGTTTCGTCCGCGGCAGCCGGCGGCGAGTGGGAGGTCCGGCCGTGCGGGATGCTGGTTCAGAAGCGGAGCCAAGAATCAGAATCCGCATCCAAACCGGCTCCGGCGATCCGGGTGCTGGTCAAGTACGGATCCGCTTATCACGAGATCTGTGTCAACTCTCAAGCCACCTTTGGTGAGTTTTGTGTTCAAGAAATTTGTGAACACGCACGTGATGTGGGGTAAATGAGTTCCGTGCATGGATTCGTTTCTGAAGCCGACCCACGAACCGCAAATCACGCCTATATATAGGAATTGTTTATTAGGTTTTCGAGTGTGCAAGAGGGCAGTGCTTTGTTTCTTTTCTTCTTTGCGGCTGAGGCAGAGGGAAAAGTGCGGGTGTTCGTGGGAATTTTTTTGCCGCTGCAGGTGCAAAAACAGAGGCTTCGGCTTTGGGTATTTTTCAGCAAGAGAGTTTGTTTGAGGGTTTAGATTGAGTGATTGTAAACCCTAGTTGTATTCTCTCTCCCTCTTAGTAGATCTCCCCCCTCCTTGCCCCGTGGACGTAGGCAATTTGCCGAACCACGTAAAATTGGTTGTACTGCTTTTGTGTGATTTGTAATAGCTTTTAGGATCCCTCGACAGGTCAGTCCTAGAACTGATGAGAGGAAGAGCCGATATCTCACTTGGTTGAGATATCCGCTTCAAATTCTTGTTAGAGCTGACGAGAGGAAGAGCTAATATCCTACTTTGATAGGATATAGGCTTCAGATTCTTGTTCCCTTTGAGAAACAAGAATTCTTATTGCGACCTGACTCTCTTGTTGTGCTGCCGAAGTGCTGCCGAAATTTCCGCTGCGCGCAACAAGTGGTATCAGAGCCCAGATTTCAGATCTAGGGTTTTTTGGTGGAGGAAGATTCTTGTGTGAAGCTTAGTTCTTGGAGTTCTCGGCTTCGGTGGAGATAGCATTAGGAGTTGCCGTTGGAGATTTCGCTTTCCTCGTGTGGATAGGAGATCTATTTGGAATCCGATCTAGGGTTCAGTTTGGTGGTTCCTAATTCTATCAAATTTGTTCTTTCTCTACAATTTGGAGTTAGTTCGCAATGGGAGAAGAAGGTGAAAGCAGCAAATCGATGGCGGGTACAATACAAGTTGGTTTTCAAAACACCAAAATTAGTGTGGTGAAATATGACGGAAAAATCAACTTTGGTTTGTGGATGAGCGACGTACAGGATGCGCTCAATGCTCAGAATTTGGAAGAGACCATCATGGTCCACGAGAGGCCACCTAAATATGAAGAGGCGGTATGGGAGAAAATGAATAGGAACGCTTGTGGGGTGATCAGGTCCTGTTTGGAACAGGAGCTGAAGTATGATGTGATTGGGGTGACGTCTGCGATGAAGATGTGGGAAATTCTCAACAATAAGTACCTTACGAAGAGTGTTGAGAACCGATTGCACTTGCTGCGTAGGTTATTCAGATTCCAGATGTCCAGAGGCACCTCGCTTGCGGCTCATGTGAACAACTATACGAAGTTATTGTCGGACTTGGCGAATGTTGATGAGAAGATATCGGATGAGTACAAGGCGATTATTTTGTTGGGCTCCTTACCGGATGAGGAGTATGATACCTTCGTGCTCACTTTGTTGAACGGGAGATCTTCTATCAGCTATAGTGAAGTGACTAACGCTTTGACGAACTACGATTTGAGGAGGAAGGATAAGGAGACTTCCCGCGCTAGTACTTCAGGAGAGGCCTTGTCGACAAGAGGTAGAAGCCCATATCCGAAAGGTGGTAACAGAGGGAGGTCAAAGTCTAGAGGCCGTCACCAACTAACAAAGAACCAATGTGCATTCTGCAAGGAGCAGGGACATTGGAAGAGAGACTGCCCGAAGCTCAAAGAGAAGGAGAATAGCAAGAAAAAGGGCCCGAAGGCCAATGAGGTGAACATTGCGAAAGGCGATGATTCCGATGATTCGTGCTTTTCTCTACTGATTACTCCGGAGGTGAACCATGTGGATGCATCAGATTGGATGCTTGATTCCGGCGCTACCTTTCATGTGACCCCTAGGCGAGACTGGTTTGCATCTTTTGAGAAAGTCGACGGGGGCGTTGTTGTCATGGGAAATGATCAATCCTGTGGCGTTTGTGGGATAGGTACCGTGCGGATTAGGATGCACGATGGAGTAGTCCGTGAGTTGAAGGAGGTGAGATTTGTTCCTCAACTGAAGAAAAATCTTATCTCAGTTGGAGCTTTGGAGGCGAAGGGATTCAAGGTGACTTTCGAAAACGCTGTAGCGAAGGTTACTAAGGGATCATTGGTGGTGATGAGGGGAGTCCGCAATCGGAATTTGTATTATCTGAAGGGAAGCACCGAGATTGGCCAGGTTGCTTCGGCTATTTCAGAAGCGGACATGAGCAGACTTTGGCACTATAGATTGGGGCACACAGGTGAAAAGTCACTGCAGACATTGTGCAAGCAGGGGCTATTGAAGGGAGCCAAGAGTGGGAAGATTGAGTTCTGTGAGCACTGTGTTCTTGGCAAGAAGACGAAGGTGAAGTTCGGGACTGCCATTCATCAGACGAGGGGCATCCTGGATTACGTGCACACAGACGTTTGGGGTCCCACCAAGACTGCATCACTTGGTGGTAGACATTGGTTCGTCACTTTTGTAGATGACTATTCTAGGCGTTGTTGGGTGTACACCATGACGAAGAAGAGTGAAGTCCTAGATTTGTTTGTGGAGTGGAAGAAGAGATTGGAACTGCAGACTGGGAGAAAGATCAAGACGTTGCGATCCGACAACGGTGGTGAGTATACTTCTGACCCCTTTCAGCAGCTATGTCGAGACGAGGGCATAGAGAGACACTTCACAGTTAGTCATACACCGCAGCAAAATGGGGTGGCAGAGAGGTTGAATCGGTCTTTACTGGAGAAGATCCGATGCTTATTGTCGCAGAGTGGTTTGGAGAAGATCTTTTGGGCTGAGGCACTTACATATGCGAGCCACCTCATTAATAGGCTGCCTTCATCTGCGATTGAGGGGAAAACCCCTATGGAGATGTGGTCGGGAAAGCCAGCACATGACTATGACCAGCTCAAGGTATTCGGGTGCCCTGCATATTATCATGTTAGAACTGATAAATTGGAACCTCGAGCTAGGAAGGCCATATTTGTAGGATTCAAGCGTGGTGTCAAGGGATACAAGCTTTGGGATCCAGTTGATAAAAAGATTGTTCTGAGTAGGGACGTCACATTTGATGAGGCTTCTATCTTGAAGCTTCCCAGCTCTCATCAGGTGGAGAGCGACCCGACGGAGGAGATATCGCAGGTGGTGGAGATCGATGCAGCTCCACATTGTCCAGATGGTACAGTATCCATGCAGGTGCCGACTGAGGTGACGCCAGGCGAGCACGACGATGACACGGAGGATACGAGTACAAATGTGCAGGATCAGGAACCGACGGCTCAGGTTCAGGATTCTATTGCGGCTAGGAGACAGAGGAGAAACATACAGATGCCAGCACGGTATGCCGACACAGTTGCGTATGCACTTCCGGTGGAGAGTATCGATGAGTTAGTGCCTACTACATTCAGAGAGGCCGAGCAGAGTTCGGAGGCTGATTCGTGGCAGGTGGCTATGCAGGAGGAGACGGAATCTCTTCATAAGAACGATACATGGGAGCTTGTTGAGCTTCCAAAGGGGCGGAAGGCAATTGGTTGCAAGTGGGTATACACGAAGAAGGAGGGCATTGAAGGCACTCCGTTGAGATTCAAGGCTAGGTTGGTTGCGAAGGGCTATGCACAGGAGGAAGGAATAGATTATAATGAGGTTTTCTCCCCGGTGGTGAAGCATTCTTCGATTCGGATTTTGCTAGCTTTGGTGGCACAGTATGGTTTGGAATTAGATCAGTTGGATGTGAAAACGGCATTTCTTCATGGTGATCTTGATGAAGAAATATATATGACTCAGCCATTGGGATTCCGAGCTGCAGGGAAAGATAAGTTGGTTTGCAGATTAAAGAAATCGCTATACGGTTTGAAGCAGTCTCCTCGACAGTGGTATAGGCGATTCGATGGTTTTATGATTGGTCATTCGTACACTCGGAGCCAGTTTGATCCTTGCGTATATTTTCGCAAGTTGAAAGGAGGTGCGTACATTTATTTGTTGCTCTATGTCGATGACATGTTAGTTGCCTCTACTTCCAGGTCGGCTATAGATGAGTTGAAAGTTCAACTATCAAATGAGTTTGAGATGAAAGACTTGGGTGAGGCGAAGCGCATTCTAGGGATGGAGATCGGCGCTATAGATGAGTTGAAAGTTCAGCTTTCAAATGAGTTTGAGATGAAGGACTTGGGTGAGGCGAAGCGCATTTTAGGGATGGAGATCGGCAGAGACAAGAAGAAGGGCAGAATTTGTTTGACACAAGTGGCTTATTTGAAGAAGGTTCTACAGCGATTCCATGTTAGTATGGATACGAAGCCAGTTAGTGCACCTTTGGGAGCCCATTTGAAGCTTTCAGCTGGTCTTTCACCGAAGTCAGTTGAAGATAGAAAGTTGATGTCGAAGACTCCATATGCGAGCGCAGTTGGGAGCTTGATGTATGCGATGGTATGTACGAGGCCAGATTTGTCACAGGCGGTAAGCATGGTATCGAGATACATGTACGATCCAGGAGTGGGTCATTGGGACGCCGTGAAATGGATTTTGAGGTACATTCGAGGTACGCTCAATGTTGGTTTAGTTTATGAGCGGGACACTACAGGTGGGCAGCTATGCATTGGCTATGTTAATTCGGATTATGCTGGGGATTTGGATAAGCGCCGGTCTACGACGAGGTATGTGTTCACTTTGACCCGTGCGCCGGTGTGTTGGAGATGCACCTTACAGTCTACAGTGGCTTTGTCTACAACGGAGGCAGAGTATATGGCAGTTACGGAGGCTGTGAAGGAGGCTATTTGGCTTCGAGGACTTTTGGAGGAACTTGGTATATCGCAGAGGTCCGTCACTATTCATTGTGATAGCATGAGTGCTATCTATTTGGCGAAGAATCAGGTTTTTCATGCGAGAACAAAGCATATTGACGTTCGTTATCACTTCGTTCGGGATGATCTTGAAGATGGCGATGTGGAAATTATGATAGTCCACACAAAAGATAATCCGACAGATATGCTCACTAAGGTGGTTCCGAGCAACAAGTTTGATCATTGTCGAAACCTGTTGCACATTCGTGATTATTGAGGCCGTTGACGGCCATTTGGATGAACTACGTTCGGCTTGATTCCTTGGGCAAGAGGATACGTAGGCAGTCTTTCAGATGCAAAACTGCTACTCTCGTTCGGGTTCTCGACTTGTTGTGGATTGAGTTCATACTGATCACAACAAGTGGGACATTTGGTTGCTTTGGTGTCGGCTCAGTTTTGGGAAAACTTCACCGAGGTGGAGAATTGTGAACACGCACGTGATGTGGGGTAAATGAGTTTCGTGCGTGGATTCGTTTCTGAAGCCGGCCCACGAACCGCAAATCACACCTATATATAGGAATTGTTTATTAGGTTTTCGAGTGTGCAAGAGGGCAGTGCTTTGTTTCTTTTCTTCTTTGCGGCTAAGGCAGAGGGAAAAGTGCGGGTGTTCGTGGGAATTTTTTTGCGGCTGCAGGTGCAAAAACAGAGGCTTCGGCTTTGGGTATTTTTCAGCAGAAGCCTTTTGTAGAGAGATAGTGTGAGGGATTTGAGAGTTTGTTTGAGGGTTTAGTTTGTGAGTGATTGTAAACCCTAGTTGTAATCTCTCCCTCTATTATAGGATCTCCCCCCTCCTTGCCCCGTGGACGTAGGCAATTTGCCGAACCACGTAAAAATTGGTTGTACTGCTTTTGTGTGATTTGTAATAGCTTTTAGGATCCCTCGACAGGTCAGTCCTAGAACTGATGAGAGGAAGAGCCGATATCTCACTTGGTTGAGATATCCGCTTCAAATTCTTGTCTCCTTGGTGAGACGGGAATTCTTATTGCGATCTGACTCTCTTGTTGTGCTGCTGAAGTGCTGCCGAAATTTCCGCTGCGCGCAACAGAAATTATGGTTAATTATCTTTTTCAGGCTCTAGGCTTTGATCGGGTTTTGGATTTGGAGCAGGGGAACTGAAGAAGCTGTTATCGGGTCCAACGGGTCTACACCCGTTAGATCAGAAGATACTGTACAAAGACAAGGAGAGAGAATCCACAGCGTATTTGGACACCGCCGGCGTTAAAGATAAATCGAAGCTCGTCGTGTTAGAGGATCTCAAAGCTCAGGCTAAACGATGTCTTGAAATGAGGCGAGCTGTGAAATCTGAGCAGGCGTCGAAATCTATCAGTTGCCCTTAGAATTGCAGTCGTTTGTTTCACTGTGATTATAAACTTTTCCAAAAACAGTTGTAAAAATGGGTCAGATTTGTGAAAACAACTTGCGTCCACGAGAACTGCAAGTCATCTTTTGTAAAGATTACTCATTTACTGTAGTAGCGGCAAAAATAAAGAACTACAAGCTTCTATGAGTTGACCGCACACTAATGTAATTAGAATTCATTTTTTTCGGGGGGCCGATGGTATTATATGTTTAGTTTCATTGATAAGCAAGAGAAGCATCTCAAATATGTGACGCTTTCTGACCTGTCTCTTTTCTCTTCTGTGTATGCGTGCGTTTGAACTGGCTTTTCGAAGATTTTTAAACGATAGAAGACAAGTAAAATGGATGTTGAAAAATATTAAATCCGTGTGGTCTCATAAATGCTACTATATTTTTTGTATTCAGTTGCTTGAAAAATTGCTATGCTCTACTCTAGCAGGTATGCAATCTATAAACATAAATTGCCATGTTACTCCTGTCAATTTTCATGAATGTTATGTTGCTATCTACAGATCTAAATGAGTTTAGAGAAAGATTTATAAGGACTGGTAATTTACATCTGCAGGTAAAATATTTCATGTGTAAGGTCCATTTCAAAACAAAGCCCACTCGTTCCTTTATTCATTGCCCAAATTTGGCTATTTGTTTACAAGCTCGATAACTCACAAGGCCAAACAAATCAAATATAAAAAGAGAAAAAGGAAAAAACCATATATATATGTATACGAATTAAAATCAATCGACTCTCGGACCATCATGCATCGCTTATTCCCACAACTCCCACACGCAAAAAACAAATAAATCTCAAGCACACCTCAAAACGCGAAGATGAGTGACCCAAAGAGGGCTCCAACGGAGCTCATGATGCCCACAGCCTTCAAAGTAGCCGAATTTGGCGGCGGCGGCGGCGGTCTTGACTCCTCCCCGGTCGGAACCGGTGCCGGCGTAACTTCTGCGGTTGCTGGCGCCGGGGGAGGAACTTCTGCAGGAGGCGGCGGCGACGGAGGAGATGTTGACGGCGCCGGAGGGGTAGCCGGTGCCATCCGTGCTAGCGATACGGCGGCAGGTGTCGTTGCGCGTTGCTGACTTCGCGGTTGCAGTCATCTTCTTTGACTGATGAAGATGTGGAGATTGCGATGTAGCTTAGATCTCTGTAAAGGGTCTCAAAGAAGGAGAAAATATGCGATTTTTGCAGGAGGAAATAGGAAACGGAGGGGAGGAGAAATAACACAAGAATAACAGGTGGAGGGGGAGAAGGAATTAAACAAAGAATAAAAGAGAGGGGCTGAACGGAATCACAGGCGCACATCCAGCTATCACCAACTCAACGATCACGCCCTCTCCGTTTTCGCGACGTATTAGTGCCGACAAGATTCTTTCGCATACGAAGCAAATCCCCATATATATATATATATCATATATATATATATATATAGTATATAATATAGTTATATCTCAAACTCAAAAAAATATCAGGGTAAGTTTTTATAATTTGAGGGGTAATTTTAATCTTTTCTTAATCACAGCTATTTGTCATGTGATATGTTAGATCTTACGATGTTAGTTTTAGGGGTTAACTGAGAAAATTTCAATCGTCGATTTTAATGCTGAGGGGGAGGGAGATTATCTACATTATCCTCAAATTTGACGAGAGCATTTCTCAATTAAAATAGTTGAGAGGGATTTTATGACGACACCACCTACAGTTTTTTTGTGGGGGATACGGGGGGTGGGGGGCGGGTTGGGTAAGTGGGGAAATGCTCGGGGGATTTTCTTAGATTTTAAAAGTTAGGAGGATTGTATACAATATGCGCAAACTTAAGGGAATTTTCTCAAATTAAATAGCTAATGGGTGTTTTCTGTGACACCCCCTATAGTTGATGGGTAGTTCTAAAGTTAGCCATTTATTATAATCTTACATAGATGAGCCTTTACGTCAATAGTAATTTCCTTTTAGCTGAAATATTTTCTCTCTATCCTTTTTTCCCTCTGTTCCTACAGACCGCTGTCCATCTTTCTCAATTGAAAATGTTCACCCACTGTTTTATTCATATTTAAGATGAAGATTGTCTCTCACCGTTCTAATTGTATATCAGGTGATTTTCGCAAAGCACGAGCTTCAATTGTAGTCCCTCTCTTGAAATCTATTTCTCATCTATCGTTTCTTTCTCTTCCCTCATAATCATGTCTATGTTTTTATGTTCGCCATGGATAGATAAAAATGCACCCAACTAAGTGGGACTTAATTTAGAGATAAGATATTTAACTAACTCTGATTAGATTAAAATTAGATATTGTTCTCTTTAAATGAGAATATAGTAAGAAAAATAAAAATGACAAAATGAAAAATATTGTCATCTCTAGAGTTAGTAGCAAGGTGACATATTGGAGCTTTTTGCCATTTTAGTGTGATTGCTTCCACACAATTGTTTGAAGATTGAGGTGCGTGTCAATCATTCCAAAGATCCGAAATAGGTAATATCTCCAAAATATGTAATATCTAAAAAAATATATTTATATTCAATATATGTATGCATGTATAGTGTACATTTGTATTAGATCTAGTGTAGGGTTATTCACACATTTTATCTTTTTTTAGGGTTAGGTATAAGTATAATTGCATCTGGTTTTTATTTAAATTAGATCTGTGGTTACTTAATGGTGATATTGGTCCTAAAATAGAAATTTAGAGTTTTATTATTAAAAATTAAATTATTTTCTTAAAATTAAAAATTTGTTGTAAAGGTTATATTTTTGGCATTAGGGATGTCAGATCTATAGTAAAAATTCAACTTTTGGCCAACATTAATAAATCAGGCATTTATTACATTTTTTGTTGAGATCAAAAAATAAATTGTTTTATTTTTTTAAAATTAAAAAGTTTTAATTTTTTCTAAAAATAAAAAAATTCAAAACCCTAGATCTTGTCATCGCTGGCATCGTGGATGCTGACGGTGACGACGGGACTGAGGTCTGGGGCCTAATGCTAGGTGCAAGAGTCCCAGCACCCCACCATCGTTGGCGTTTGTTGCCAGCAGTTGATGTCTTTTAAAAACATAGAAAAAGCCTTGGATCTCACTGCCGTTAGCTAGGGGCATTGATGGCTTTGGGTCCCGAGGCTAGGGACCCTGGTAACGATGATGGTGAGATAAATAATGTAAAGTTACAAGTGCATAACTATTAGTTTATAGTATAATATAGATGTTGAACCCACGAGGAAGGTGTGTGTTTAGAAATTCTAAATTTGGTCCTAGGAAAGTGTGGACAAAAAAAAAAGATTAAAAGTAAAAATATAGAGATATAGAGAGGGATATGTCGCAAAAATTAAAAATGTTAAAATAAGAGGGTAAAAGGAGGAAAAAATGCAACTAAAAAGAAATAAAAATAAATGAAAAAAAGAAAAGTGGAAGAAGTAGGAAGAAGAGAAAATCAGCAAAATAAAACCAGAAAGAGGAAAATCAAGAGAGGAAGAGAAAAATCATATCAAGAAAAACTGAGGAAAAACGTGTAGAGAAGTTAGGAATCAAGAATTGAATCCGCCAATTAATTTCAATTAGGAGTTATGCACTACTATCTTTTTTATTATATTTTACTTTAAATTTACTAAGCATAGACTATCAAAACACTTATGGAAAGCATAACCCATCAAATTATCATCCAACTAAAATCACTATTCATAAAAGAACAAGCAACTTGATAGTAATAATAGAATTCATAAGCTTAACTTATCAAAGCACTCAAGACAAGCATACATTATTAAATTCTTCTTTTACCAATTAGTTCTCTAGTTTTTTTATTATAACAATGATTATTTTAAGCATAAAGAGAGCAATCCATAAACCATAAAAGAAATTAAACAAGTTTCATACAATTTTAGATTTCCTACAAGAATTAGTTACTCATTTTGCAAAATAAAAATAAGAAAATAAAATCTATACTAGTAATAATAAAATAACAAGAGGTAAATCTAAACTACAAACAATAAAGAAAGAAAATAGCATCAAAACATAAAAGAGAAAGAAAATAAATCTGCACTACAAAAGCATGAAATAGATCTACACTATAAAGCAATAAATCTAACCTACCTAACATGTAACATCGTAATTTTTTTCCTTTCGATGATCAGAGACCGTTACCCATACTAGACCATGAATCAATATTTTCTTTTCTTCCTTCTGTTTCATATAATCTTCTAGTACGAGAATTCTAACCTAGCTAATTTCTCATTTTATGATAGAGTTATTTTTTTTGATCAAATTTATAGCATGCATATAAACCTAGTATGTGAACCTTAACCAACCATATTTTAATACTTAATTAGAGTTAATCCAATTTGATAAATTTCTATTTTAAAACTCTCTAAATAACACATTTAAATAATTTGGTCAACCATGATAGCGGGAGGATTTTGCACAAAACCCCCAAATTTTGGCCATAATTGGAGATTCCACTCCACATGGGTCGTGGACACACACATACACACACACACACTCAACCTCTCACTCACTTTCATTTTCTCATTTCAAAAGAAAATTCCCCAAAACCATCTCTCCCTCCTCCCTCCTCCGACCAACCAGAAACCATGACCCCATTTTCTCTTTTTATTACAAAATTTCACAACTTAAAACATCGCTCTTGCTCTCCCACTATCAATTGGTCGAGATAAAATAAGAAGGAGCTTTGTTTTCAAGGGATTCTTAGAAGAGGAGGGCTAATGTGACGCCCCTGGTTTCACACAAGGTTGCACTCCAAGGTGAACCCAATGATATCAAACCTGCCATGTATCCACACAGTGCAACAACATGTTTCACCACCATAGTAATATCTCTCTAATGGAATTAATCAATAAATAAGTATAGATACAAAGCAAATAAAATAAAGATAATAATGCAATGAACATGATAAAGGAAACGAGAGAATCCAATAATAGTTATAATCGTGTTCTAACTGAATAAAATTAAATACAACTGATAAATTAAAACAAATATGAAATATATCAATACATAGATGTAGGCGTTAAAAATTGCCTATAGGTCCCCGAACACAGTTCGAGACAGAGAGAAGATGATGAACGTCATTATCCGAGTCAAGGAA